GGGAACATGCATCATATGAGCTACAATTGGAGGAGCAGCTAGTAGAGTTGGATGGATCCGCGATCGAGGGGCAAGAGAAGCCGTTCAAGCCAATCCCTATCTCACCTCGGATCACCACATCTATGGAGGAGCCCCCAAAGCTAGAGCTTAAGCAGCTTCTCTCTCATCTAGAGTAGGCATTTCTCTGGGAGGGGAATAAGCTCCCAGTCATAATGAGCTCGGAACTGACCACCGAGCAGAAAAGCAATCTGGTGGCCCTCCTAAAGTAGTATGTGCACGCTAGCCTGGAAGATCATCGACATGAGAAGAACTAGCCCATCCTTCTACTCCCACCATATTCTTATGGAGGATGAGGGTAAGCCAGCAAGGCAGCCTCAACGGAGGTTGACTCCTAAACTCGATGTAACATCCCGAACCTTTTCCCGAGCTAGATATTGTTCGCTTTGGGTCTTGACCCTCACGGTTTTCGACTTGGGGTTCAATTCAAGGTGACTTCCCATAAGGTCACCCATCCTTGTTGTACTCCACACTGAGCACGTTTAACTTTGGAGTTCTCACAAGAACTCCTCCATTACACCCCAAAACGCATCTTGTCAGTTATGGCCATTTCCCTACTTATGAACCATGGATCTCTCCCGTGCTTTGTCGATGTGAGATTTGCCTAAGGTGTTACATACACCCCCCTTGGGAATCAACGCCCTTGTTGAGGTTTTCCCCACCATCGTTCAAGAGGGCGCGGAGAGACTCTGATACCACTTGTAACATCCCGAACCTTTTTCCAAACAAGATATTGTTCGCTTTGGGTCTTGACTCTCACGGTTTTCGAATTGGGGTGCAATTCAAGGTGACTTCCTATAAGGTCACCCATCCTTGTTGTACTCCACACTGATCACGTTTAACTTTGGAGTTCTCACAAAAACTCTTCCATTATACCCCAAAATGCGTCTTTTCAGTTAAGGTCCGTTTCCTACTTATGAACCATGGATCTCTCCTGTGCTTTGTCGATGTGGGATTTGCCTAAGGTGTTACACTCGAGGAATTGGTCTGGGACAAGTTCGTGAAGCTGATGAATGTTGAGTTCATTTTTGTTATATATGATAGCTAGTGGGTCAGCCCCACACAAGTGGTACCAAATAAAGGTGGGATGACTGTTGTCTCGAATGAGAAGACTCAGCTGATCCCAATGCGAACTCTTACTAGGTGGCGTGTCTGCATCGACTACCGTCGCCTGAACGATGCCACCAGGAAGGACCACTTCCCACTCCCATTTATTAATAAGATGGAGTGGCTGGCGGAACACGAGTTCTACTACTTCCTGGATGGCATGTTCGGGTACTTCCAGATCCCAATTGCACTAGAAGATCAGGCAAAAACTACCTTCACCTGCCCCTCGGCACCTTTGCATATTGGTGAATTCCCTTTGGTCTCTGCAATGCACCGGTGAACTTCCAGAGATGTATAATGGCGATCTTTGACTGACTGGTTGGAGAGATTGTAGAAGTTTTCATGGATGAATTCTCGGTTTATGGAGACTCATTCTCTCATTGTCACCATAAATGGGAACTTGACATGAAGAGGTGTGAAAAACAAACTTGGCACTCAGTTCGGAGAAGTGTCACTTCATGGTTCTTGAAGGGATTGTGCTCGAGCACAAGATCTCCGAAAGGGGATGTAGGTATATCGGGTGAAGATTGAGACGATCAACAAGCTGTCTCCTCCTGTTTATGCGAAGGCGATCCGCACCTTTCTAGGTCACGAAGGATTCTACATGATATTTATCAAGGATTTCTTGAAGATTGCCTTGCCTTTGACCAAACTGCTTGAGAAGGATGTGCCCTTTTAGTTTACTCGAGAGTGCACAGCTGAGTTTGAAACCTTGAAGGAGAAGCTTGCCCATGCACCCAACGTGGTGACTCCGCATTGGAATATGCCATTTGATCTGATGTGCACTGCGAGTGACTATGTAGTCGGAGCGGTTCTGGAAGAGAGATGCGACAAGCATTTCCTCCTATCTACTACGCGTCCAAGACCCTGAATGATGCACAAATGAATTACACCAGCACAGAAAAGGAGTTGCTTGCATTGGTGTATTCCTTCGATAAGTTCCGATCTTATCTGGTGATGTCCCACGTGGTGGCCTACACAGATCATTCTGCGATCCGATACTTGATCACCAAGGCTGATGCTAAGCCTAGGTGATAAGATCCCAAACTCGTGAAAGTTTAGGTTCTTTTGTCAAACTCGCGCATCGTCGATCTTTTTAGGATTTTTCCTGAATTTTCTCTTTACAACTCGAAAAGAAAAGAATAAGACGGAATTTCCGTGCAATCTCAACACTAAATCGGGAGAAGGCTCGAACAATATATGGGTAGAAGCTCGACCACAATCAATGTGGGTACTAGATTGATACTGAGGCAACACTCTATGCTATGGAATCTACCAATAACACAAAGCAAAAAGGCTAACTGTTCAAATCAATAATCAATAATCAAAATCTCAATAATCTCCTCAAATTCGTGTCTTACAACCCTTTAAATAGGCCTAGAAAATAAAACTAATGAAAACACCAAAAAGGGAAAAGAATTCTAAACGAAAAACGAAGTTTAACTCGTCAGGTCTCGAAACTCGGTCACAATCCTGGTCGGGGATTCAAAAGCACCGTTTGGGGATGCTTCTGGACCAATTCCCCGCTCTCCACTTTGGATCCCCAGTCATGGATCTGCTCCTTGCTTGGTAAGGTATTCTCTACTGCGGGAATCACATCATTCCCTCCCCATTGAAGAAATAACAAATTTTCAACCCACATTCACCTTTGTGCCTGGTGAATAAATTTTTTCACTTTTTCTTCTCGTGAACAGTAACCTAAACCACAAAATATTTTTGTTATTTTTGTGAACAGTAAAAACGAAAGAAAATACCTCTCTTGCCGCTGATTTTGAACGCGGCTCTAATACCACCTGATAAGAATCCGAACTCGTGAAAGCTTAGATTCTTTTCCTAAAGTCGTGTAGTTTCGATCTTTTTTGAATTTTTTCCGAATTTTCTCTCAACAAATCGAAAAGTAAACGACAGGGCAGAGTTGCCGTGCAATCTCAACAGGAAATCGGGAGAAGACGCGAACAATATAAGGTAGAAGCTCGACCACAATTAAGGCGGCTACTTGATTGATAACAAAGGCAACACTATATGCTATTGAATCTACCAATAACAAAAAGCAAAAAGATGAACCATATTCAACTCAAAATAAATAATCAAAATCTCAATAATCTCCTCAGATTCGTGTCTTACAACCCTTTAAATAGACCTGGAAAATAAAACTAATGAAAACACCAAAAAGGGAAAAGAATCCTAAACAAAAAAGGAAGTTTAACTCGTCGGGCCGTGAAACCCGGTCATAATCCCCGATCGGGGATTTAAATGCACCAGCTAAGGGTGCTTTTGGACTAATTCCCCGGTCCTCACTTCGAGTCCCGGTCGGGGATCTGCTCTTTTCCTGGTCGGGTATTCCCTTATGCTAGAATCACATCACTAGGCTCATCTGCTATATCCTACTGCTACGGGAGTTCGACATAGAGGTTAAGGACAAGAAAGGAGCTGCGAATGTTTTTGTAGATCATCTCTCATGGTTGGAAGCCTCCTAGTGGACAACTTTGAAAAGGAGAATAACGACTTGTTTCCCGATGAAAGTTTGCTGCAGCTGTGCCTAGTGGAGAGTGTCACCACGTGGTACTCCGACTTCGCAAACTATTTGGTAGGCAAATAGTTGCCAAAGGGGATGCAGACCCATGCAAAGGGGAAGTTCTTCTCCAACCTGAAGTACTACCTCAAGGAGGATCCATACCTCTTCAGGATTGGAGTAGACGGGTGATACGAAGGTGTATGATGGAGCACGAGATGGAGATCATTTTGTCTCAATGCCACCTCTTCAGTAACTCCAAGTTGGAAGAAACTGAAATCGCCCAAAGAGCGGCTTGCTCGGTTGACGATTACATTGAAGCCCAACTACAATCAGATCCGGAAGTGCATGTCTGCAACGCACCAATTCCTCACTGGACAAAGCCTTCGACTGGATCTTTCAAGCTTAATACGGATGCTAGAGTGATAGGCGAGGATGGCTACTGTATGGGTGGAGTGGTAAGAGATGAACTTGGCAATTTTGTCTTCGGTAAGAAGCCGAGACGAGAGCTATGGAACTGGGATTAAGCGAAGTGGAGAGAAGGGGATTTTGGCCACTTATAGTTGAAACGGATTGCAAAACCTCATCAACCGTCTGAAGCAAGAAGAAGGAGACATTACAGAAAAGGGAGATTACGTGATAATTTGAGAAGGATGGGAGCTATTCATGTGAATGGAGGGGAAAGGGTGTTGGAGTGGGCTTTTGCTCCCAGAACCGCAAATCGTGTAGCCCATTTGCTTGCCCACCTGGCCATTCCCTGGAATCAAAATGTCATTTGGGATGTAAGGCCACCTGTGGGCATTTGGGATATGCTGTGTAACGATGTTTTGGGCTAGTTGGCCCTTGTTTTTTAATGAAACCAGGCTGCTTATAAAAAAAATTAGTATTTTAAATAAGAAAAGAGTTATAAAATTATTAACGATAACGTAAAAATAACTAATATTTTAATATATTACGAAAAATTTGACTAATTAATAACATTTTAATAAGTTTGGAGAATATAAATTTTTTGAATAAAAAATAGACATTACCCTATATCCTATATATTGGTTGATTTGTCTATTCTTTCCTATTGACTTCTAGGTTAAATCAAGAAACCCTAATTTGTGATTTGAAAGCTTCCCTCACCGCCGCTATTAGTCCTATATCTGGCCGGTTCCCTCAACAAATTGGGAAAAAGCCGACATAGATATTTTCTGTAGCAAAGCTCATCGGCTGCTTGCTCTGCCCATCTCCAGTTCCGAAGACCGGTAGCAGCGACCCTCTTCCAAATTCCCCCTTGCAAGTCTCCGGTCTATCCGTATCTTTCAGTGGTCCAATCCCGATGTCGGTCAGTCTTCGCAAGGGAAATACCAGGCTTCCGCCGGAGGTGAACCGCGTGCTCTACGTCCGCAACCTTCCGTTCAACATCTCCAGCGAGGAGATGTACGATATCTTCGGAAAGTTCGGCGCCATTCGCCAGATCCGGATCGGCACAAACAAGGACACGAGAGGCACCGCTTTCGTGGTCTACGAGGATATCTACGACGCCAAGACGGCCGTGGATCACCTCTCTGGTTTCAACGTCGCCAACAGGTACCTCATCGTTCTGTATTACCAGCAGGCCAAGATGAGCAAGAAGTTTGATCAGAAGAAGAAGGAAGAGGAGATTGTCAAGATGCAGGAGAAATACGGAGTCTCCACCAAAGATAAGTAGACTGAATTATCGCATCAATGAGTTAATGAAATCCGCTCTTGTGCCAACTATTGTGGATTTTCTTTTACTTTGAATGCACTACTTCTGAATTTAGGGTTAGCTCTGATGTTCAGCTTGTGTGTAATTAACAATGGCGTGGCGTTTGAAATGATGAATTTTTGGGATTTGTTAACTGAGGCAGTGGTCCCCTATTTGCCCAGTTTGTCTCTGTAGTAATGATGCTTAGTTTGTAAGATAGTTCAAGGAGGGATGCGGAACTGGCGACTGGGTTGAATGATTCTGCTTGCCTGTTTCTTCAGAGGATTTCTGGTGTACATTGCAAGCCAGTTCAACTGATTTGTGCACCAGTTTTGGGGTTGGTTAATATCATCTCTAGTTTACTATTAGTTCCTGGATTGCAGAGTTGTTGCTTCTCTTACTGAAATTGTGGCAGCGACTAATGGGATGCTCTGACTGATTGCTTTGTTAACTGATGTTGGTTAGATAGTCTGATTTTATTTTAGAATTGATCTTGAGTTATGGTGCCAGCCAGGGATTCTTTGCTTTCGCACTGTATGTTTCACTCTGTCTAGGTATCAATCAATGTTATATGGCATTTTGCATCCAAATGAAGTTCTTCATTCCTTGGGAGAGTGTGTATGTTTCACTCTGTCTAGGTATCAATCGATGTTGTATGCCATTTTGCATCCAAGTGAAGTTCTTTATTCACTGGGAAATTGATGTGGCTAGCAGCCAAGTTTAAATAGGAAGGAATTCTCAATTGATGATTTGCTCAGTGTCAATACTCTCAGTTTTACCGGAACTGTCTTGTCAAACGAAAAAATCATGCAAACATGATGAACGTCATTTTCAGAATTCAGATGTGACTTGAACTGAACCACCTAGCAAGTATTCCTCTTACGGTCTCTTACAATGTTCAATAAGATGATAGGCGAGAGATTAATCGGGTCTTCTTGAACACTGGTCCCTTAGGACAACAATGTTCTTTAACTTCTTATGGATGCAACATTAAGCTCCTTTAGTGTGGTAATTCCCAAATGAAAGCCCTACCTTCGTTATGTTCAAGCCGCTAACTATGGTGACACTTGAACTTAAACCGGAGTTTGCTTTGGTTGTTGAGTGTCTTCTGACTACAGAATTAGCAAGCTGTGTTAGTTCTCATCTCTTAACTCTCTTTTAAGCTTTAAAATTAGCTGATTATTATTGTTTGTCAATGTTATGCTATGCAAGCCGTAACAATTGGAATGGGTGTGATATTCTGTACATCAAATGTATTCTCAATTTCTCATTATCATTTGCAAGTGGAGAAAGGTGACGAGACCTTACAGTAGAAACGAGAGAAAAAAAGCGAGGTGCATCTGCAAGATTTGAACTTAAATCTATCATTTAGTATCCATTTATAATTACTGTTTTATGTTTTCACAAAGTGGCAATAGAGATTGAAACTATGTTCATTTTTGTTTTCATTTGTTATTGTGGCAGTTGGAGTTGGTAAACCTACATAAATTATCAGAAGCCAGCTCAACCACTTTAAGTGGCTATTGTGGTTTATGAAGTGTTTGACTCCCAATGTGATGTTTTTACTCTGTTTCTGTTCATCATGTCGACGACTTCGACCACTAACATTAACATGCCTTCAAATCAAGTTCTTATAGTTTTGATCATTCTAATGATTGGCTATATGATCAAGTTAGATTCATAGATGTCAATCTTCTTATTTTGATTGTTCCTTTCGGGTGAAATAAATCAATATTGATGGATGTTAGCATTTTCGGTTCATACTTGGCCATCAAAGTTTGTCGCCCATCTATGATATTCAGAAACGAACTGAACTTCTTCAAAAGCAGGTCAAAGTAACGACCCACTGTCTAGGTATAAATTTCTCATAGAGGTAGGTATGACTGACTGAACTCGAATTCTAAGGGGTAAATTGCAAGGTTGGTCACTGAAATTACTAAAAACGTTCATGTTTAGTCACTGAAAATAATTAATTTAATTCATGGTCACTAGATTTAATTAGTAAAATATGTCATATTTGGTCACTCTCCGTCTAATTTCGTTAATTTTGTCTGAAATATGGTAGTCAATTTTTATATTTGACCGTTAAATATATGACGTGACAATTAAAAAATTTTAAAAAAAATTCCACTTTTATTTTTGTTAAAAAAATATTATTCGTTCTAATTCGTCCCTCGACCCGAGATTTCTAGCCCTCACAAAACTCAAATCCTGGCCGCGGCGAAGGGGAAGGATGGCGAGCAGCCGGAGATGGAGGGCTGGTTGCGCTATAGAGCAGCGCTAGATGGAGGGTCGGTTTCTAGAACCTCAATAAGCTTGACCTTATAAGAAACGACGATGCCGGAACGTGATCCGCCGCCGCGAATTGCCAAGGAGAGGCCTTCCCCCATGGATTTCCGATCGAGAAGGCTTTCGTTCGCATCAACGATTTGAGCGTCCACGATGTGGTCCACTGACAACCCGAATTTCGTACCCACCGCCGCTGAAGTGACCGTCGACGACCACCATGGGGTATCAGGAGAGAAAGCCGTGAACTTTACTCTTTTCCCAAATTGCATAGTAGAGTTCACCTAGAATAGCACCAGACTGAATCCAGGCCGACGTCGATCTAAAGCGGATTGGACGTGTCAAAAAGGAAGATCGGAGAATCCGAGACGTAGGAAAGTCCCTCGAAATCATGGCCGCCGCTGCGGATTCTCAGCCAGTAACTGTTCCTTTTTGTGCATAAAATGGTGTACTGGATGTTGGGGATACTTGCAGGGGGGACGATGATTAGAGGTTCGAGGGCGGAATTGAAGCCGAGATTCAACTATACCCCTCCGTCGCGGCCCAACATTTGGGATTTGTGAGGGCTAGAAATCTCGGGGTCTGACTGAGAATGAGGGGTGTGGTTACTGGTTAGTTCGTGAGGGGTTGGGAAATTAAGGGGTCGTTTGGAGAACCGGATTTAGAGCGTTGATTTACTGAATCCGTAGATTTTGTAGAAAGTTACGTTTTTTTTTGTTGCCTTTTGTATTGTAGATTTTATCTTTAGAGATTTCAAATCTCGAAAATCTACGGATATCAAATCTCTCATAATCAAAGAGATTCTATATAGCTATAAAAAAAAAGAGATTCTATATCTTGATTCGTGAGATTTTTTTTCTCCTACTTTTTTTCCTCCTACTTTTTATTGTTTATGGTATTGATAAGGTGAAAATTCTAATTCTAATCACCAAATCGAATAATCGAAAATATACCTAGCCCATATATCATAGCTCACTCCAAAGCCCAACTTGTCGATGACGTCGGCCCAAAACTCTCGACAGAGATATTGAGGTTAGGAATGGCAATGGGGCAGGTCCGGGGCGGGTTTCTTGGTACCCAGACCCGACCCGTGGCAGGGCGGGTCCAGGTCGGGTAATTGATCACGGGTCGCGGGTCGGGGCAAGTCGACCAAATGGGTATGCAATTTATTTGAAAAACATTAGAAATATTCATTATTTTTATTATAAAACTAAGAAAACAAACAACATTATGACAATTGTAGTTAAATTATTGAAGAAATTGAGGTTTTCACTAATTTACAACTTTATTATAGCTAAAATATGATGCAATAAAAGTAAAATTTAAAGTAATTTGACTAAGATTTCATGTAATTTAGACAAGAACGGGTCGAGAATGGGGCGGGTCAGGGCAGGTCGGGTCGATGAGACTACCCATGCCCGCCCCGCCACAAAACAGGTCAAACAGGTCGGGTAAAACAGGTCAGGTCGAAATTGCCATCCCTAATTGAGGTACATACTTTCAAGTATGAATCACAGTAGGAAAGAAGATGTGGCATTGTTTGTAGCCGTTAGCATTTATTCTATTACTCGTATAGTTGTGATGCGCTCCAGACCATGGGGAGCAGATTCGGTGAGTGACCTTGTGGTGAGTAACCTCATGCATAACCCAATAATAATCTGCCACATTCGCGCCTCCTTCTCTCACCTGAAAAAATCATTAATTTTCTTTCCCTTAATCTTTAACAGACGATTTCTCACTCGTTTTAACTCGGATTTTTTTTTTTGCACAGTTAGATCAGATTAATTGTGCTCTTCAAAATGATATCCACTTTGATATTTTTTGGAACAAAATTTTATTGCCAATTATTACCAGTCTATACCATATGGTACAGTCAATACCATGACTGGTATTAAATAACAACATACCATATGGTATGAAAAATACCAGTCAATACCATATGTTGTTATTTAATACCAGTCAATACCATATGGTATTAAATAACAGCATACCATATGGTATGAAAAATACCACTTCATACCAGGGTGGTATACAGGGGCGAAGCTAGGATTTGAATCTCGGGGGGGCCGAAGTTGTTTAGTTTACCATGACAAAAAAAATTTATAGAATTTTTATTATCATAACAAACCAAGAATTGAGATAATTATTAACTATGTGATATGGTCAAAACAAAGTATTAAATTACGAAAAAAATTAATCATGTATTTCAATATGTAGCTCATTTTTATCATTTTCAAACAATTTATTGGCTTATTTCAGTATGGAAATAGCAAAATAACACTTAATTTGCTGTAGTTTAGGTGAGAATGCTCACAACTTGAAAATGGCAAAAATGGGATAATTATTAACTATGTGATATGGTCAAAACAAAGTATTAAATTACGAAAAAAATTAATCATGTATTTCAATATGTAGCTCATTTTTATCATTTTCAAACAATTTATTGGCTTATTTCAATATGGAAATAGCAAAATAACACTTAATTTGCTGTAGTTTAGGTGAGAATGCTCCAACTTGAAAATGGCAAAAATGGGCATTAATTTGCTATAGGCAAGATTCGAACCCATGCACTCAATTTGAAAGATCAACTCTTCTGCCACTCATCTGCCCATTAGTTTCTTATCAGATTATTGCGCACACAATTAATATTCTAACATCTATTTTATACGTAATTTTTCACAATCCGAAGAGATTTTGTACGTAGTTTCAAAATTCTCGCGCGGGGGGGGGGGGGGGGGGGGGGGGGGGCCGGGGCCCCTCCGAGGCTCCACCTAGCTCCGCCCCTGGTGGTATAGTATGGTATGGAGTTGGTAACGAGAGGTTTGAAATTTTTTCCCCCAGAAAATTTTGAAATCCAATAAATCAAGATAAAATAGTTCCTTTTGTGCAAAAATTTTCGAAAATGACTAAACAACGAAGGAGATACCATATGGTATGGAGTTGGCAACGAGAGGGATGAAAAAATTTCTCAAAAAATATTGAAAACGGAAATTATTTTGTAGAGCACAACGAACTCGTTCCATCTGTGCAAAAAAAATTGAAACCCGAGTTAGAATGAAGAAGATATGATCCAATTAAGAAAACTAGGGAAAATAAATTTTTTTAATTCTCCACCCTTAGATCTGCAGTCACTTAAAAAAAGGGTCTAAATTTGGTTACTCATTGTTACTCACCCTAAGGTTACTAACCCTATCTTGAGCCCAGACCATCCGTAACTAATTTGTACTCTTGATTGAGAAAATTCAGATATAAAGGTGGAAAATTAAAGGCATTTTTATTTTTTATTATTTTCTTAATTGATTAATATTTTCTTCATTTTAACTTGAATTTCAATTTTTTTCCACAGATGGAACGAGTTCGTTGTGCTCTACAAAATGAGATCAATTTTCAATATTTATTCAGAAAAAAATTCTTGCCTCTCGTTACCAACTGCATACCATATGCTATCTTCTTTGTATTTAAGTCGTTTTTGAATATTTTTGAATAGAAGGAACAAGTTCATCATGATCTATTGGATCTAAAAATTTCTAGGTGAACAAAATACTGGACAAAATAATACCACACCATACCACCCTGGTACGAGGTGGTATCTTGTGGTACACAATGTTTAAAGTCATAAATAATAGTTAGTATACTCCTATTATCATGTATTCAACCATCCTACAGTGTTGGTATGTTCATACCACCATGGTACTTTTTTCATACCATATGATATGCTCTTATTTCAATACCAGTCAATACCATATGGTATACACTGGTAAAAAATGACTCAATTTTTTTTTCTTGCAAAAGTAAATAAAATCGACATAAAACAAGTGAGAAAACGTTCGTTAAAGATCAAGAGGGGTGGATTGTTGACGGAACGCGTAACCGATCAGAACTAGTCTAGTATTTTATTAGTTTAGTCGATTAAGATTTCAGGTCAGAGTCTATATAATGTACTTTAGTCCTATCAATATAGATACCAATGTATCTTCAGAGCTATCCATCTTCTCTCTGATATCTTTTAATAACCCTAATATCCAATTATAAATCACCAAAATTGTCGTGCTGGTGGCATGCCGGGCGATCGGACCTGGTTCAACATATGCCAATCATGAAACATGCATAAACACTAACAGTATGACCGACATGATCGATTTACAAACTATAACTAAAATGACGTCGTTGTAGTAAATTTGATTGATAGAAAATAAATTTATTATATATTTTATGAATAGAAAAGCTAAAAGTTGATGTAATTTGTTAGATATAAAAGTTTAGATATTAACGTTAAACGTTGTATTTAAATATGAGTATTTGTTATTTTATGAATATAAAAGTTAAAATTGATGTAATTTGTTATATTCATGCATAAAAGTTTAGATATTCATGTTAAATGTTATATTTAAATATGAGTATTTGTTAGTTTATTTGGAACATAGAATTTGATTAAATTGGCATGAACCAATACAAACCAGTTGTACCACTAGTCGTATCATTACACTTTCTAAACCGACGGAACAGTATAAACCGGACGACTTTGATTGATGTCAATCGGTTTGACTAAACAAATGCATGTGGGATTGAATTTATTAATACGTTTATTAATAAATCCAATCCCACATGCATTTAAGTTGCACATGCATTTAATTCACCAATTAAGTTGCCGTGATGGTGTTGTGATAGAATTTATGTCTATTCTCTATTAAAAAAAAAAGAATTTATGTTTATTCGTGTCTTTTTGTTTGTTCGATAGTTGGCATAATTACTCATGCTTTGGGAAGTTTTTAAGTAATACGATTTGAACAAATTGAGTTTGAATTGTGTATGAAATTTGAAAAGAGTTCGAGTGTATTCAACTTGGTTGAATATGGAAGAATTCATGTTGGAATTTTTTGAACAAATTTTGTGAGTTTCAATTCCAAGTACTTGGAAAATACAGAACTTTAATTCATGTAATATAGTTGTTTTTTTTATAAGATAGTTTCATTAAAACTGAGAAGTGTATGAATTAAAGTGGGTATTAACTCAAAGGTAAGACTACCAACACAAATACTAGCAAAGTGAAAAGGCCACATATCAGGCCCGCAACAAATGATCAATGGCCAAAAAGAAATCAGTCCAAACCACCAAATCCTATACAGGAACCTTCACAACCCTAGCAAATTGCATCTCCATGTCTAAGCTGCCACCGCTGGATTCATCACTTCAAACCGACCATCAACCAACACAACTCCAAATCGGGAGAACATCCACTCCACAGGACCGATTGGAAGTCGAAATGATTGAA